ATTGTTGAACTAGAGATCGCAAACCGCCAAAGTGGGATCCACAGAAAATAATGCAGGAGCCGCAAAATGTAAATTGTAAGGGAATCCACTATCAGGTCGTCGAGAATTATATACCTAAACTCAAGAATTTCTCTCGCGCACAGAGTCGAGACCGCCAATTTAATTAACGAGTATGATTCAATACGTATGTATAATTCGATATGTATAATCCTTTTGTGATAATTCATAGTAATCATTCATATGTATTAATCCTGTGATGTAAGACTTCATATTAATAAATATTATTTATATCTTTACAGTTTCTATATAGCTCCTTTTCAAATACGTTTCAAGAGTTAATAAATATTTTCGACAAAATAAGTGGCATATTCTGGAATACCGCTTAATAAAGGGATGTATTTGGAACTTGCACAAAATAAAATTCAAAAGATTTTTTCAAATACTGTTTAATTTTAACATTTTTCAACTCTATGCAACTGACACCATAAATTTTAACAATAAGGAAATGTATTTATTTATATGAAATATTAAAATACTTTTTGTATTACTCTAGTTTTTATCCGGGTGAGTCTCTTTAAAGCGTATGCAAAATTGACGTTAAAGATTAAATCAAAAACTTCTGGATTGACAATAATAGTAGTGGTGATGATCTAGCTTTTAAAAAGTAAGAAATCCTTAAGTTAAGATTCATTGATTTTGAATGATAATTTCGAAAAATATCTACATTTCATTAGATCAGGGTGTGATTCTTATTTGGCCTTCAGAATGTCTTTCTCTGTTTTGGACATTTTCGCAGACATCTAATCGATAACTGTATAGTAGAGTCTACATAAACTTACTTAGAAAATTGAATCAAAATGCCCATTTGCCAACAAGTCCACTTTGACAGAGACTGACATGAATTTAATTGTTCTAGTGGCTCAATTCGGAAGAAAATCAAAGAAATTTAAATCTAGGCTTGAAAAGCATAAATAGTTTTCAAATTGCATAAACTTTAACAGAGGAAATAAAAACTTTTAGTGAAAGAGGGATACCATGAAAGTATATGTTGTAATCAACAGAGAAATCGATGAAATGAATCAGTCTACGACCGGAGTTAGAGAAGCGTCCACTAATTTTGGAAGTAGGGTGCTTCATTTAATTAATATAATTTCAAGACACCTATTGTGATGAAAATTAAAGTTAAAGGTTAGGATATTACAGTAGAATTGTATGTGTATGTCCGCATGAAAGGAACTCACTTTGACACTGTTGAAGTTATCCATATAATATTTTTTATAAAATTCTTAACAATTTTAGAGGTCTTAGATCTTACTATGTGAAAAATTTGCGAAGATATAGATTCAAAGTTATAATTATCAATAACCTAGTTTAGAGAAGAACGATTTAAGTTTTAAATCTATCATTATCATTATCAACCTATCATGTTAAGTAAAAATTTAAAATAATTATTTGCTTTTAATCCCAACACAGTTATTAAATAAACTATTGTCTATAAGTCGCTGATTGCAAATCTAATGTCAGAATTGAAGAATTTACAAAAAAAAATTTTTGAATTATGGAATTATAAAACATGGTATCTAGAAATTTTTAATATTGCAGATTACAAATTTAGGGTACCAGATTGAGGAACCAGAAATTTACCTTTAGGTATCTATGATTACGAATATGAAAAAAAATTGGACAGGTAGAATCTTCCACCATCCCAGTAAGAAGTAAGGAATTAATAAGAATTCGAAATTTTTAATTCTTTTGAATTCCGTTTGTGATCAATTCTTTTCATTTTCATTTGGAGAAGCCGAAAAGAAGCTAAGTTTATTCTTTTGAATACCGTTTTAATATTTTAAGCGGAAAAAATATTTGACTGTTCGAAGATTTGAACCCTTAAAAGTTTCATTGTCGGAGACAAACAGCTTGTCCGCTCAGCTATTTAAACTGTACTATGACTAGCGAATTTTAGAAGCACTTATCTCAAAGTGTTGCAAACTTCAAAGGAATTAAAAAATTACAAAATATTAAAACGGAATAGACAGGAATTGAACTTACCGAGTATCACACAGTATTTCGGAATTCACAAAAATTCAAAAATTAAAGAAATATTAAAACGGAATTGATTGGAATTCACTTTCAATAAATCTTTGCCTCAAAAAGGAATACATAGGAATTGGACAGAAACGGAATTAAAAAAAATTGATAATTTAACATTTTCTGTAAAAAGTTAAAAATGTCCAATTCTTCTCAATTCCTTACTTCTTACTGGGATACTACATGAGAAGATTTTTACGTTTTCGACCGAAGAACTGATATCTGGACTAATTACAGTCCAAATCAGTTTTTAGAGCCACGGATAGAAGCCTATTCAAGTTCTTTAAGGTATCATGGTACAAGACGTATTTTTTGTATATCTTGATCTCGGAAATATTATAAAGGCAACTAAAATACATTTGCAAAACGTTTAATGTCTGGACCAGAAAAATATCAAAAGACGTCTTTCAGACGTTTCAAATTTAATTATCAATTTAATTCATTTATTAACTTATAAATTTTGACTAATTAATATATTTAATTAGTAAATTAATTAGTTACAATAAAATTAATTGTTCAGGAATGAGGAAAAAATTCTTACTAGAATAAAAGAAATACGAATTCGGCAGACATAAAACATTTTTAGAACACGTATCTGAGATGCCTTAATCAAGTTGATAGTACATTTCTTTTTAGTATTAATTAAAGACATCTTTTACTAAAGTCTCCAAAAAGACATTTTTAAAATATCTATTGAATAAGTATGTCCAATAAGAGTGCAACTATAATTATTTATGTCTATTAATTTATCATAGCTTTTTTATACTGGAGAAATAACGTTCTATTAGTATCCGAAAATTGTATGGAGCATGAAAAGCATCTCTACATGGTTTTCTAAGTCTAAAAAACCTGACATAATTAAAAAAAATCTATAAAAATTATTAAAATTAATAAATTACTCTTTTACACAACCCCAGAATTAAAAATACTGTACTTTAGACCAAAATACCCTGACCTCAATCTATTTTGGTGCTCTAAACACGAATCTAAAGTTCATCCTGCTCTACCATGACAAGATTTTGTTCTCACTTCAAAAAACATGTCGGATTGTAGGTAATAAACAAATTTTTTTAAAATTGATGGATTTGTATAAAACTTGTATACCTAGGAGTTTTTGGGGTCATCAGTGATTACTAAACTTATTTATTTAAATACAACCCCGCAGTAAAAAATGGACCATACATTAAACATTTGGCTAATATGGTAGCAGGCAAAAAGATCGGAGAAGTATTAATATTAAGTTTAAGTTATTAACCAGTAAATTGAAAGATAAAATAGAAAATAAAAGAAATTATAAATTTTTTCATTAAGTCCTTAGATTATTATTATTATAATTTTACGAGGCGCATGATTATTCCCTAAATGTCATTTGACCGAACTGTTATTTTACCGAATTGCATTTATCCGAACTGTTATTTATCGAAATGTCACTTTTGTGAAACGCCATTTTTACGAATTGACACTTTTGCGAAAAGTAATTTTTGCGAAATATAATTTTTACTAATTGTCATTCTTACGAATTGCCATTTTTACGAATTGTCACTTTTGCAAATTATCATTTTTACGAATTGTCATTTATGATGACATTTTTTCGAATTGTCATTTTTACGAAATGTCACTGTTGCGAATTGTCATTTCGTAAAAATGACAATTCGAAAAAACGACATTTCGTTAAAATAATATTCCGCAAAAATGATGTTTCGCAAATGTGGCAATTCGTAAAAATGTCGATTCGCAAAAGTGACATTTCGTAAAAATGACAGTTCACATAAATAACAATTCGTTAAAATGATATTTCGCAAAAAATGCCTTTTCGCAAATGTGGCAATTCGTAAAAATGTCGATTCGCAAAAAGTGACATTTCGTTAAAATAACAGTTCGGATAAATGCAATTTGTTAAAATGACAGTTCGGTCAAATGACATTTGGGGAATAATCATGCGCCTCTCAATTTAAATAAATTCGTATAGCACCAACAATTCGACAATACACGAGGTAGGGTATTTCGTTTCTTCTTGGACTTCTACTATTGAGCTGTTATTTGAAACTTTTAGTTATTCACGTCACGTAATAAAAAATTTATTCAGTGAAAATGCACATTAAACAAATATTCCCTTATGTCGCAAAGTCATATTTACTTTTTTTTTGTCTCTTAACTTTAAAATAAACAAATGTTTATAGACATTAGAACAGATTTTTTTATTCTTAAGTATTTATTTCTAAATGGAACTTAAAATGTTCTATCTTTATTTAATTTTTCAACTTTATATAATATTTTAGTAGTTCTAGGTTGTTTATTTTTTGTTTTACTTTATTGTTCATCACTTTAATTTGAAAGTGTATTTTGTATTGTTATATAAAAACTTTAAATACAATACAATTTTGCACATAAATCGATCGGTCAAAATGTTGAAATTTAGTTTAAAAATCCAAAAAGGTGAAATATGAAAAAAATTGAAGGCGGAAATGGTAGTGTTCAAAGGATGAGATGAAAAACTGTTTAAAAGAGCTTAGTATATACTTATTTCATTAAATTCTTAATGGATCATAATATTATTGATATCATTGTTATTATTCATGCCAAGAAAGATTGAATTTGCACGGAAGAATTATATATTTGTAAGTATATCACGAGAGAACAGTAAATTGAGAAGAAAAGTATTAAGTTAGAAAATTAGAGAGTTTTTGTGCTCAAATATAACAACACGATACAGATTTGAGTTTAAACAACATAGCATTTTCTAAACATTCTATAGAGAGGGATTGCACCTAATATTAGAAAATAGTATGTATAGGAATATATGTATATACATTTATATAGTATATACGAGAAATATATTGAAGAGGAAAAGCAAAATCAACACCAAACAGACTGCCATTAGAGAGACTTTTGTTAATTGCTTTAAAGAAACTCACAGTTTTCTTCGTCCGACATGTCCGCGTGTCCGCAATTATCAATGCCATTGCACCGTAGGGATGAAGAAATACAGTACTTGTTTTTACTGCAAAGGAATTGATCTTGGCAATCGGTGTCCATTATCACCTCCGTCCACACTGCTCGAAATCCGTTCTGACCAACTGCTTTCGCTGCCGCTATAAAACTGTAGAAAAACATTAATTTCATTATTTTATTTATGAAAGAATATATTATTAATATCAATGAAAACCTTAATCGCATGTTATTGTTGTCCGAGAGGTAACTCCAATCGTCTTCGGGAGCCTTAACACCACATACTTCGAGTGGTGGATTTAAAATGGAAAACCACATGCGTAACACTGCAGCAGGACAACCTCGGGCTGAAAATTGAAAACAAATTTTTTCAATAATAAGATAGTTCTCCCTCTAGACGAGTCATTTTTAACTCATTGTCAGTGCAGATTAACTCACTCAGTTGCTCTCCTTCCACAGAGAAAAGCTCAAAATTCAAAAGTATTTGATGATTTGGTCTAACTCTTATAAACCAATTACATGTTTTACTCGCTAGATTTTTTGCAGGACCATCATAATTATTTGGAAAATTGGGACTTGTAATTACTCCGAAATCCAAACTACTGATATTTGTTCCACAATCTAAACAATTGGACAAAATACACATGAATATGCAAATAAAAATGTTTATAGCAATTTATGATTTTGGACAAAACACAAAACTTTAAATGTGCATGGCCCGCAAGTTATTTCTCACCTCCAAAAATCGATTTGGTATTTTCAAAAATATATCGGGCTTTAAAACCGCTGTACACGAGTTCAGAATCAGAGTGGAGAATTACTTTCAGTCCTAGTGCGCCAAGATTTGATTCCACTGGTCCAGGTGCCGTTAATCCACAATATCTTCCTATTAATTTTTCAGTGCGATCTTGATACATGTTGTAAACCTCCACCCAATCGTCTTGACAAAGTTCTAGTCTGTACAAACATAGCATTCTTTTAAATAGTACGGAAAAATTGCAGTAACTGTTTAATGATATGAATTTTTATTGCGGAAGGATTAGTTCACCATATAAAGTCAGAGTCGAATTTAGTTAAATACTCGATTTTAAACTGAAGGTTGAATGAATGTAATGAACATAATTCTTGTTTGACCTTGTGGGCAAGGAGGAAAAAAGGAAATCGTGTTATTTTCCATATGCAATAGGGAACACGATTTCTTTCCTCTTCATCAGTATTAAGCTTGCGACAAACGACACACTTCGGATAAGCATTTGCGAATTGCATGTTTATTGTATTTGTCTCGTATAATTCTCTTGTCATTTATATTTGTTGTTAAATTTATAGCGGTAAATTGGAATTGATTATTATATATGTATAAACGATATCGTATTTTTTTTAATGGTAAATCAAACTTCCAGCTCAAAATTCTAATTAAAGTATTAAATAAAAAATTTTGTTAAACAGATCGCAGTATTATAATTTATGTAAGTTTCGCAAATGACCCTATATTGTCTCTATTTTTATTTTTACAAGAAAACTACGAGAATGTTTTCCAAGTATGGTCAAAGTTTGATCTTAATTCTATTCAAAAGGGTCGACATAGTAGACTCGCAAGGTGAACTTGCGGTTTAGGAAGGTGGAAGCGACTTGTTGCAACAAAGTGAAATTTTGAGGTCACATAGATGTTGAAGTCTTCATTCAAAGAATGCCAACAAGAATGTTAACGATCCCCTCAAAGTCATCAAAGTCGTGATGAGTGAGAGGGTGACAGTCCAGAGAAAATTTACTAGCACGGTGGTCTGAATTTTATGTGGTTATACTTTTCAGCTACTCAATTATAAATGTCCACAAAGTTAAGCATTCGAGATTGCATATCATACCAGGATGCACAATAAATATGAGTATTCAAAAAAAAAATCGAAGACTTCATAATGATAAATACGAATATAATCCGTTTGGGGTGGTGTAAACATTAGACATTTGCTTATATTTAAACAAAACTTTTCCCGAGTTCTAAAATTTGTGAAGTACTTTGGTCTTTATAAAGATTCGCAGAAATGATTGATTGCGAATAAAGGAAAACAACATGTAAAGCAGTATTACTTACCCGTAATGTCCAACAGTTATATTCACGTTTTTCGCTTTGACTTTAAAATGATCGAAAATCAACGTCACTTGTTCGTTTGGAGTTGCCAGGAAATTGTAAGTGCAATTTGTATCACTTGGATAATTACTAGGATACCGCGGGGAATTGAACTCTCCTTTTTTACGTGAAGAACTCCGGTACGTGAATGTACAACTGCCGTCAGGTGCTGCTGTTCCAGGTATCTTATACTCCGTTTCAAATGTATACCTACAATCATATAATTAATTTTTATTTTAATATCTTCATTTCACCAAAAATTAAAATATTTATGTTTCGTCTACAACTAACATTGAAACCGCTGAACAGTGCATTTGAAGATTAAGCGAACTTTAATGGAATCATCTACACTCAAAAGTTGTAAAATGATCATCATCAGATTGCTGAACATAGGTGAAGTTATCCATAGTCTTTAGACTTAAATTATAAATAAAGTGCAAGGTGGCATTGTTTTTGATTAAACAAACTGGATCCTTAAACGAAATAATGCAATTTCCTACTTTTTTGGAGACGTTGAAAACCAAACCTCGAGGGGAAGAGTCAGTCAGTTCGGTTAAGCAGACCGAAGGGTAGTCATTCGCGAGGAGGTACCATAATCGGGAGGAGACTGGAAATTTTGTCAAGAGTTAAGTGACAGAACTCACGAAAGTCAGCTTAAATAGACAAAGAGTCGAGCGACGCTTCCCATAGTGAATGGTAAACCATCCCTAAGTTACTTATATTTACTCTGAATATTGATGAAATGAAAATGCATCAAATGATCTTATGAATATATTCATAGGTCTGTCTCGTTTACTGTCAAGCCTCTTGTACGTTTCTTTCTATCACCGTCTCTAGAGTTGTGGTTTTCGTAAAATCTGAATTTGAATGATTTTGCGCATGATTAATTGTCAGCGTACGTCACATGGTCAACGACCCTTTCCTAGTCTCTTTCAGGTGCCATTCCGTGGAGATAAGGAAGAAGGGTTCTTCCGAAAATTGCGAAGGAAAAACAAGGAAACGACTTGATAATTACGAAGCCTACTGGTGACAATCAGATGGTTCGACACTAACTTGCGGGTTTCCGAGAAGTCGTGACGCGGTTTTGATAAGTGTCACAATCAAGAGATACTTGAGAGTTTTATTAATAATTGTTTGCAAAGTTTGTTAATTAATTTCCAGTTTGAGTTTTTATTAATAAATAGTTCTTTTTGTTAAATGCGTGTTTTAGTGGGTTTTCATTCATTGAGGATCGTAGGAGAGTAACAGAGAGTGTAGAGTAATATTGGTAGCGTCTCAATGGTCAAGTTCGAATAGTTCGCTTTGGGTTGTTGGTTGACCAGAGGACCATTTTGCATCACGGCATCGGTTTGGCATAATTCCCCGATGAGATTTTGAGAAAAGCGGTAGTTACGATAAATAGAGAAATACTTGGACGGAATTCGATGCAAATGGTCGAACTGAATATTTCAATATATTGATTTAGATCATCAAAAATCTCTATGTCAAAATATTTACAAAGAAGTAATAAACTAATTTTATTGATTGAATTATTACGAATTGATTAAATCTGATATTTGTTTTGTACTAAAGATAAAGATTTTTAAAATAAAAAGTAGATTTTTACAGCTGTGTTTATACTTACTTTGCTTTGAAGCCTATTCCTTGCGATTCTCCGCTGCTGAATACCATGACTAGTCGCGGGCCATCACTAACCACAATTGGAGGAACAGTATGCATTCCGCATAACTCATGATCAAATTTATCGTACGAGTCAGTTGCCTCCTGACCTTTTAAATATATTTTCAAATATCCGTCTGGACATGCTGCACTGTAAAATAAAAGATCTTTAATGTTGCTGTACATATTATTAATCAAAAATGTTTTCTAACTGCATTCTTTATTCCCAGTGGCCCAGTGGGCAACAAAAACATTTATGTTCGAGGAACGTTTCTAAAATATTAATTTGTCAGACATGAATCGTTTTAGGAACGTCCGTCAAACGTAAATGTTTTTTTCCCTAATGGATTTAAAAAAAATCAACATTGAGGTGGGATTACTTACTCGCTCTTAGACGTATTACCCTTAGGCATGGAAAATGCAGAAAATTCTAATCGCACTCTCTCTAAGTGTTGAAAATCCTGCATTCCATAGATGAAATATCGACATACTACTTTCTGAATGTAGGGAAATGGGTGATTGGGACTGACGACATACCCTGAAGATTCCTTTCTACTTAAAATCTTTTGGTCGCACTCTGTGCCTCGAATGTGTTGCCCCTCAAAACTAAGTATGAAATCTAAAAAATAATTATTGTAAAATTCAGTCATACTTTTCTCAAATAAAAGAAAATATTGTACGATAAACACTGGGACATTTTTAAGTGACTATAAATTTTACCTAATTTTACAAAACTTTCTGAAAATTCAAATATCCCTTTAAATCCTCGATTTTGTGTATTTGCTGTTCTTTGAAGTGTGTAGAATACAACAAATAAAACAGACTCTGAGGAATATAAAACTAAATTTCTCTGTTGTCCACAATAGGTTCCTATCACTGGTGACGAATTATTTAAGCCATCATACACTTTTACGTAGTCAAAAGGGCAGCTGCAAAATTTTTACAAATCTTTTTAATTACTCGTTCATCTTCATTAAAAAAATAATTTCTTTAAATAATAATTCGTGCAATAAAAATTTAGTAAATGAAACTTACTGAAGACCTCCAAAGAAAAGGTCGAAATCACGAAATTCTAAACGCACTCTTTGTCCAATTTTCCCCATAAACTGATAAGTACAAATGAGATCTTTTGGATACGTTCCCGGATACGTGGGAGACAAAATATTTCCGGTGCGCTTTAGAGTTGCATTTATTATAAAAGAACATGGTAGACTAGGCACAGGAGTTCCAATTTCATACTCACCTAAAAGTAAATGTACATATTTATTACATAATATTTGTATGTTAATTATAAATATTCAGATTCTGTTTCATGAATCTTTTAATTTGTAACAGAATATGAATGGTCTTTAAAATTATGCATAGAATTTATATTAAATTCTTACTGGCGTTTATGAATGAATACCAGCCGCTGAAGAGAGTAGGCAAAGTGAAATTCTTATCTGTATAGAAGCTAAGTACTATTCCCTGGTACAGAGAAACTCTCTTCCTGGGTGGAACCGGGCCGCAATATCGCCCTCCAAAAGGAGTATCTATCAACTTACTCGCATTATCCGATCGTATTTCTGTGTATACATCCATGTATTCGTGAACACAACTAGAAAATAGAGTACATAATGTAAAAATCATCACTTTCTTATCGGCTTTAGTTTAGCTTGATATTTGCTTTGAAAATATAAAAAAAAGTTGTTCATTTCTTTATTGTAATTGTAACTTATTCAGAAATGTACAGTAAATACAATTGAAACCGGATTATAATATAGTAGGGTCAGCTGAGATAAATGCAAATAAAGGTTAAATACAAACAGTAATTATTTCAGCTTAATTTAAAATAAATGCGGCATGAAAATTGTAACCTCAGATTACCTGCAAAAGGTTTTAAGTATTATCGTATTTTCGAGAGTTTAAGGCAATCGAAATCGTGATTTCTCAAATAAGAAGAAAATTTTTGAAGTATAAATAAGTTACTGTCCACGCTGTTTACTTTCGAAGAGGCAGGACCCAAATTCTAACCGCGTATTAGGGGTACATATGGGGAGATTTAAGTTTCTTAAAAAAAGAAAGCTGAACACTTTCAACAATATCCGAGAATTCCAATCACCATGCCTAAATACCATAGCTAAGAATACACAGAGTCAGGCTTTGAAACAAGACGGTTTGAAAGAACACGAATTATGAAATTTAACCCCAAGATATATATACTCCTTGGCAACCTCGATGCAACTCTCTCCAAATTTAAAATATTTATATTTTGTAGCTTTTGAATTATCTGATTTAGAAAAGATTACTACATATTTTAGTTTTTTCGATATTAACCCCTTAACTGTTTGAGGAAAATACAACATGATTGTCCCAAAATGCCCAGCGGAATTTGATACTTTTTCAAATAGTATAATATATTTAAATTATAACTAATTATTTAATTATTTTCTAAAATATCATTAATGACCCTTTTAATCAGCCACGTAGGAACGAATTATTTTCCGGGGGGGGCAAACTACATATATAGATATATTTAACAATGTAATATGTATATAACTGGGGGGCAACTGCCCCCTTGCCCCCCTGGTTCCTACGCCACTGCTTTTAATTTCTTATAATATTGATATAAAGAAAAATATCTATCAATTTATATACAAATTATATTATTTTGAGTGATAGTGAACACGACCCTCGGGTGGGTCGGAAACAGTTATGGCCATACTTTTTCACGACCCACCCGTGGGTCGGAAACAGGCAACGGGTTAACAGTTAAACCATTTGATGCGCAATTATCGTCGAGTGCCTTCAATTTCTTACTGAGTTCCAGAGGAGAGTAAAACATAATTGTCGGCATACCCCGACATCAGAATCTCAGTTGAGCTATTGATTAAAATTCTCTTACAGTCATGATTAATAAAATAATCTTCCATATCAGAAATGTGCAATAGAAACTCAAATAGACTAAGAATTTCGCAATGAAGAACGCCACACGTAGCATTTCCTATTTGGGTGGAACCTTCATACGTCCTAATACATGTATGCACTTTCGAATGAAAGTCTTTCATTATATTGATTAGTTTAGAACTAAGACCTAAAGAGTACAATTTATTCCACAGAAGTTGGTGAGAAATAGATGGGAAATCACTTTACCTTTGAAATCTACAAAAAACGCGTAAATAGTTATTTACTCGTGCAGTTGGACGAGGTTTACTTAAATGAATTTGTAAAGTCGATATAAGATTAAACAAATTATCATGACAAGTCCTGTCCTTCCTAAAACCTGCCTTAGACTCAGGAACAAGGTTTAAATACTCAGCCCAGGAGTTTTGGCTATGCAATTTACTAAGGTAATTGCGGCCTATAATTATCCGGAATCAGTGAGTTAAAGAACCTATTAAGTGAAATAAAGTGGACAAGCATATATAATCGATCATATGTCTATCGAAGATACCTGACCATCAGGAAATAAATAGAAATTTAAACACTTTGTAACGAAGCATTTTAACACTTTTAACACACTTTCGAATACGTTGGGAACGTAAAGGAGAATCCATTACATTCTGCCAATAACTAGCATAAATTATTGAAATGGCAGTAAAATTTAAATTTTATAAGAATATACAGGGAGTGGAAAGAGGGATCCTAGAGAGAAGTTTATCCTAAGGAACCGCATTCTCAAGTTACTCAGTTCACCCAGAAGGAAAAGTCCCCCGACAAGACTTCTCTGGTAGGCTTCCTAAGGTGGGAAGTAAACAGTGTGAAAAGAATTAAATGGATAATTTGCAAAGTTTTAAAAATCTAAAAACGTGTGAGACTATTTTGATGGAAGGATTGAATAAAAATTGATAACTGCAAAAAGGATGAGGACATTTAAGGGCTTTGGATAAAGCTCTCAAAAATAGTTCGCGGTGAGTTTCTAGTTTGGGACATGTCCATAAGATATGTTCAAGGTCTTGAATTATACTTGGGTCGCATGAACAATAAGGTGTCAAACAGAAACTGTCCAGGCTCTTTTGTCAGTGAAAGAGGTAAACCATGGTTTTGATCGTTGGATGTAATATTTTTTGGTGTATGAAATACCTTCGATTTCACCTACTTTGGAGTATTAATCGTGGTAGGTTTGTTTAAGGCGGATAAGAGTGGTGCAAGTAGTCTCAGTAAGCAAGATGAAAATTTAAAAAAATACCATTATTCCAGCTTCGTTTGCTGTTTCATCAGCAAGTTCATTACCAGGTACATCCACATAACCGGGAATCCAAACTAGGGTTGTTTTCAGATTTAGTTTTTGAAGAATATTCAGTGTATTTCAGTACGGAGTCAAGGAAATAGAGAATGGCAATAGCTTTGATTGCGAAAATGGAGGCTTGGGAAGAGATTTTCCAAGAATGAGAGATATTTAATGATGAGCTAATGAAGGAAGAACCAGTTTTGGATGAAGAATATGATTTAGATCCATCATTATACAAGTGAGTCGAATTAAGATAATGGTAAATAGTGATCCATCTGGGTACGGAAACGTCTTTGTTCTAGAAACGTTCCTAAAACGTTTTTAGAACATTTAATGTCCGCTACATAACGGCTCATGAACGTCCAATGTTCTAAAAACGTTTTTGGAACAAGAAACGTTTTTAAGACGTTATGTGGAGGACATGAAACGTTCTAAAAACGGTTTTAGGAACGTTTCTAGAACAAAGACGTTACCGTGCCTAGAGGGAGGTAATTAAAGACAGTTTTTGGGGTAGGACTGTTTTGAGTCAGTTTACCCAGATTTAGATCGATAGAAGAAATAAGAAGGTGGTCTTCATAAGGAAATTTAAAATAGGGAGGGGTGAAGGCTTTGCGTATATCAGGTGGAAAATAGCGTATTTTCTAAAAGCTGTATGATGAGGGTAAAAATGGCTTTGATTTGGTAAAAGTTATTTCTGGAGTAGTTCCAGAGATGGGAGAGAGAAGTTTGAAGTAGATGGTTGAAATATGAAAAAAACTTTTATTAAATATCATTTTGCTAGAAAGGCAAATCTTTTCCTAAGAGAGGGTTCATAGGTCGCAGTTAACATGGCATTGATAGGGGTTGAATTTCTATAGACTATACTAAGTCTAATGGCTTGATTTCGGATTTTTTCAAATTTATCGAAAAATTTTAGTCTTGAATGTGTAAATGTGGGAGCTGTATTCTATAAAACTTCTAATAAGAGCACGATAGATAATTAGAAGTGTATAGTGATCAGCGCTAAACCAAATGCCACGAAGAACTTTTATGACGTTTAAGATTTTACGACATTTATTTGTGAGATAAGTGAAATGTTGAACGAAAGAAAAGCTGGAGTCTAGTATGATGCCTAAAAATTTGGAGGATTTTGAAGGAGAGATTTGTATATTATTAGGAGAAAGAGTTAAGTTGGGATGGTTGAGATTAATGTTAAATTTGCTGATGAGGATTAATTTGGATTTATCTGGACCAAGAAAAAGACCTTTATTATTTAAGAAGTTTGAGATAGAATTGAGACAAATTTGTAAAGAGTTAATGCATTCTATTTGGTTATCTAATCTACAAATGACGGCAAAATCATCAGCAAATTCCAGTAGAATGCAGTCATCAGGAATGCTGGAAGATTTAGGGCCGATTTCACCAACACCGATTAAAAGTTAATCAATTATTAAATCCTCAATTAACCAATCAGAAGCCTTTAAACTGTCTTTAATCATTGATCAACTTTTAATCGGTGTTGGTAAAACTGGCTCTTAGAGGAATTTGTAAAGAGTGAAGAAATTAGAGGAGTAGTGTCTATGGGTCATTTAGTTATGTTTCATAGTATGAATTCTGTAAGTTTTATTCTTTTGAAAACTTTTGTTTAAATTTTTAAGAAATTTAAAAAAGAAAACTTAAGATATTGATAAAACTTAGTAATTCCATTTGCATTTACCTCTATCTGACCCTATTCGTTTTTACATTTCAATTAATTAGTACTATTATCTTCCACTCTTGCTAAGAGTATTCACGTGCAAAGAATACATTCGGAGTTCCTTAACACTAAATTCACTGCGTTTCAGCATGCTTGCTTTTATGATAATGTACATTTTATTATTAACACACTCTGTGAATTTAAATTAGCAAGACTTTTCTCACTTACATGAATTATGATAATTTTATTTCATAAACAACATTTACACAAAAATACGTAAATGATATTTATTTTGAAGCAAATTTAGATTTAGCCAATTTAAATTTACAGAGTAAATTATTGAAAGTCCTCATTATCATAATATTATGTGAGAACTAATTCAAAAATAAACCATACTTTATTATAACACTGCAAAAACGATTCAGCAATTATTGGTAATCATTTCTTTTATTTTTCAAAAGTCTTTAAGAACTATATTGGGAAGCTTACAGCCCTTTGTTGCGCCATGGTTTAATAAATTACCGAAAAATAATTTTGAAAAAAAACAAGTAATTGTTGAAAGTAAAAAATTATTTTATTATAATTTATAAATTTTTTTTGGTTAAAAAGGGGATTTTTATATGCATGCTCATGTATTTACACACAATAACTCAGTCTCGCAACATTGAAATCTATAACTCTTTTGTAATTCTTAAATTTCAGGCATTGCGATTAATACTGCTTCCTTATCATAAAATAATGATTTATGATAATAATACTTTTCATCTTTGACTTAAAATGAATTAGAAATTAAATTTTAACGAAAATAATGTTCATGATACTCACGCGGGTATCTCTCCAACAGCAGCTCCACTGCAATACCCCAAGCAGCAAGCACAAAACACACAAAATCGTATCAACGAAATACAAAAACAATCCTCATAATCACCATGATCAACCATGATTCTCTAAAAGCAGGCTTTTAATTAACGTGACACTCATCGCAAGCGCAAGCATTGACACTTTAAAATATATTTTTTAAATTAATTTTTTATCACTTTCAATATTCATTGGTTTAAACTTAAATATTTCTAAAAGAATAAAATAAATATTTCACATTACAATAACAAAACAAAAATAGTGAAATATTTCTAACTGTGACTTTGTAGACACTTTCTCATCCAGTACATGTTCCACCATATCGTTTGTTATTCTCAGAGTTCTGATTCTGATATAATATAATGTCAATCGCTGCAATCACCTATTTTGCGCCCTTGATACGAAAATAACTATTTTATTTCGCCCTTTTCTAATCATGTTTTTTCACTGACGGGTGAAATAAACAATTTCTTTTGTTTAGAAATAGCCACTTCGTTAATTTAATTCTAAATCATATTATAGATTTGTTATATTAGGTCTCAATGTTACTCATTCTATAGTCTTAAAATATTTTTAGAACATTTCCTTGAGGAATATAAAGGATTATTCGATTATATCGACATCTGTAATATTATATTAATAGACATTTGCGATGTAAATAATTAAAGTTTCTATAACTTTTTACGAATTTATTTAAGATATCTCTGTTTTATCATTTGACGACTGCGATTCGCATTACAACAAATCTTCAGCTTATGCAATTTAACTGCTTTGAACTCTATTGTCAATTCTGTCATTCTCATATGGATCTGGGCAAAGCATGCTTAGAAAAATACAAAACACGTACTCTGGTGGCTTGCCTCGAAGACCAAAAGTATCAAAAACAAGTTCCACTCTTTGTTGTGGTCCTGCGAAAAATGTATAAACACATTGCCTCGTGTCTCTATTGGAATTTGTCATATTCGGTGCATGAAACGTTCCATTTTGTGGTCCATCAGGGATGCTTATAAACCTTTGGTCACACCCTAGAAACATGAAAAATACACAAAATATAGTTTTAGGATTTCCAAATTATTTTCATCAGAAAATTTGTTTATAGTAAAAACACAACTATCTCAATTCTCACGTATAGCCTAAACCCACTTTCCAGTCAGTTTTTTTATCAACTACGACAAAGTTAGTACTCTTTTTTTTTTTGAAAGTGTCGAACAAAATTTTCTTTAAGCAAAATTTATTTAATAATAATGTGAAAAAAAGATTTAATGTTTAGAATTATTGTAAGAAGTTTGTCGAATGAAGATATAAAGCTGACAAAGATGGATTGTATCAACCTTATAAATAAAGTGGCTTCTAACAAATGAAAATACGAAAAGAAACAAGAGCATAATATCAACTTTTAAGTGACGAATGATTTTTAAAAAGAAATAATTTCCGGAATGCACATTTCGGTCTACAAATTCCAGAATCCACATACCAAAGTCCGTCTCTCATATTTCGGATTCCGCATTCCAATTTACGGATTTTAGATGTGTTCCATATTTCTCATTACATATTGTCTATATCACGGTTTAAATTTTCATAATCGCACAGTGGCGAATCCAGACAAGGCTTTTATGGAGCCTTCCATTCAAAAAAATTAAATCAATATAATGTTATATCTTTCTAACTCATAGGAGATAGGAATATACGACTCTTGGGGGGGCCAAGCACCCGTGGCCCCCCTGGATCCGCCACTGTAACCGCCCTGGAATTCGAAATCTGCAATCCGGAAAGTGAAATATGAAATCCAGATTGTGCAATATGAAATGTCGAATTTGGAATGTGGAATATACGGAATTCAGAATATTGTAAACTTTGAGCATTGAAAAGGATTCGCTTTACAGACGAATTTGCCTTAATAGAAGTATTCAAATCCAGCGGACAAAAAAGGTATTTATAAGTATTTAAAATTTTCGTCTTCTTATTGATGATGAAATAATTTCTAATACCTTTCTATTAAAGCCTTCTTACCGGGAGGGACCTTCATTTTAAATAAATTCGATTCTTAAGCTTCATATGACTTATAAGCAGAATTACAAAATATTTAATCCTTAATTTGTTAATAGTAACATCAGGGTTGACACAAAAATTTAATTTTGTTTTTCCCTGATTTCCAGACAAAATTTTGACTTTTTCCTTGACCCTGAAGAATATTCTGATTCACGACAAAAATTATTAGATACTCAAAAAAATGTTCTATTACGTTTATTTACGAATTTCTTTAATTGTAAAATTATTCGAAAACATTAATAACTTCTTTTTTAAGTAAATATTTAATTATTATTTTTCCATAGGAATTAAAATTCTTCAAAAGATTTAAATACAAACCTTTTTGAAATTAAACAATTTTATAAAAAACATGAAGAAAAGTTTTTTTATGAATGATTTTTTTATAAAACATGAAGACAGCGATCACTCCGAGTCTTCGACTCGGAGCAATCGATTTCTTCATGTCTTATAATAAAAAGATGAGAAAATAATTGAATTCTTGCAACAAATTTTATTAAAATTTTTTTTAAAAAATTGAATTCTATGAAAAAATTTATTTGTAAAAATAAAATTGACTTCTGGAGAAAAATATTATTATTCATGAAAATAATTAATTTCTTGTGCAGAATTTTATTCAAATTTTTAAAAATAATTGAATTTCTCAGAATTTTTTAAAACTTTTTGAAAATAATTAAATTCCATCGAGAAATTTCATTAAAAAACAGAAAATAATTGAAATCTGACGAAGAATTGAAAAAAAACTTTTTTAAATAAATGAATTTTTTAAATAAATGATGAATAAAAATGTTTATTTTTGAAAAGAATTGAATTCTTGGGCAGAATTTTATTAAAATTGTTTAAATAATTGATTTGCTTCGAAGAATTTTATTATTTATAAAGATAATAGAATTATTTCAAAGATTTTTACAAACATTTTTGACAATAATTATATTCCTATGAAGAATGTTATATTTTACGAAAGTAATTGTATTCTATGATCAATTTTATTATAATTTTTCAAATTTTTATAAAGCATTTTATCAAAATTTTTTTAAATAATTGAATTCTCCAGAAAAATTTTATTATTTATGAAAATAATTAATTTCTTGAGAAGAATTTTATTCAAATTTTCGAAAATAATTGAATTTCTTAAAACTTTTTAAAAATAATTAAATTCCATTGAGAAATTTCATTAAAAAATTTAAAATAATAATTGAAATCTGACGAAGAATTAAAAAAAATTTTTTTTTTAATAATTGAATTCCTTTGAAAATGTTTATTTTTGAAAAGAATTGAATTCTTGGGAAGAATTTTATTAAAATTTCATTAATAATTGATTTGCTTCGAAGAATTTGATTTTTTAAGAAAATAATTGAATGGTTTCGAAGACTTTTACAAACACTTGCGACAGTAATTATATTCCTAGGACGAATGTTATATTTTACGAAAATAATTGTATTCTATATGATCAATTTTATTATAATTTTTCAAATTTTTATAAAGCATTTTATCAAATTTTTTTTAAATAATTGAATTCTCGAGAAAAATTTTATTATTTATCAAAATAATTGATTTCTTCTGAAGAATTTTATTCCAATTTCTTTAAATAATTGAATTCTTTTGGAAAATTATATTAAAATAGTACACGGAGAAAAATGGAGAAAAATTTTATTATTTATAAAGATAATTGAAATTTTGACAAGAATTTTTTTAAATTTTTGAACATAATTGAATTTATGCGAGGAAGTTTATCACTTTTGAAAATAATTAAATTTCTGGAATCAGTTGTTCTTAAAATTTCAAATTGAAACCTTTGAAGTTAATCTATTTATATGAAGATTGTAAACGCAACTCTTTCGAAATTCAATTAATTTTGAAATTTTTAAGGACAATTATTCATTAAATAATGTATAAATAATAATTTTATGATAGTTCTTCAAGAATTAAGATATTTAATATTTAATTAAGTTATTGAAAAAGAAATTATTGTCATAGAAGTAGAAAAAATTGAAGGTGTATTGTATATTATAATTCTTGGCAATTTCATCGTTTATGAGGCAAACAAAAAAGACTCAAAAATTAAAAATTTTCTTATAAATTCTAAAAATTTAATTTTTTCCAGTATTTTTAATAAAATTCCCTGACTTTTCCCTGATTTCCCTGACCAATTCTAATTTCCCTGAATTTCCTGACTTCTCTGACCTGTGGCAAACCTGAACATGTATTTTATAAATTTTTATGTTTATTAAATAATTTCTCTTTCAAATAGAAAAATATGAATTATTTGCTTCCTTTTAAATTTTTCTCGAGACGGAGACGAGATTACAAATTTTTAAGTTTAACGAGACCGAGACGAGACTTAAAAATATCGTCTCGTCTCGTAAGCAGCCCTAGAAAGGAGTAAAAAAGGTGAGAGGAATAATTAATGGTTTTCGTATGTAACATTGGCTCTTGTCAACTGGTTACTTAAATTAATCTCATTAAATTTATCAATAAATGTATTCTCTACAATATTTTAACCTTAAAAATTAGATTTGGTTAGAATAATTTTATTATTTTGCATCGAAAAGAAAAGAAAAAAGTTTTCGACAAGTACACTGTTATTAAAAACAGCAAATTTCAATAATTACACATTTGCTAGTAGGCTATGTTTGAACTCATTTAAATAAATAAATATTTTTAAAAAATAAATTTTTTTAAAAAGTCAATAATATAAAGTCAATATACATTCAAAAATATTTTGTACTTACCCTTAGTAGTAAACGGACAGAGTAATAGGAGGAAGATGAAGGCAAGTGAAACGAAACTACTCCCAAAGGCGTACCAGAATACTGAAGCCATACTGCATCCTGAAAAAATTCTTTTATAATATAATGTTTTATAATAATTTTAGAATTATTTTAAAATATGTATGTTAAAATAAATATTACTACTTTTTGTAATTTATTATTTTTTTAATTGTAGCAGCGTTCATTCGGAATAGAAAGGAATTTACTGCAAATTAATTAGTTGACTTTTATAAGAATTATATAAAATTTACTAAGTGGGACAGATATGTCCCAGAGGCACGAAAGGGTTAAGAGGAGGGGGACAGGTTATTTATTCTTTTTTTGATTCTTTTATTTTTGTAATAGATTCCATAATATCTTAAGAATATTGTGTCAAAATTTCCAGTCAATTGGAGAAAAATTAAAGAAGTTATAAATACTTGAGGGTCCGTTGCTCCAGGCCGGGTTTCTATGCTTGTTTGATAGTAAGCGGTACACGACAGTAAAGAAGGAAAAGTTTTGCGTAGACAAATGCAAAAAGTTGCTCTAGATTATCTTGATGAAAGCTCTTTATGGACCTGGCATCGACAACTGTGTGTGAGTATAAAAGAATTAACGAGTTTTACTTGGAATTTTTTAGTGAGCAAAACTTTAAAGCGCTTTACTGAAAGTTGTTGTTTTTGAAGTCGGTCCGCAACAAAGCTCAAAATCTACCAAACCAATCATTTTGAAATTTTGCACTCTACTTCTTGACATAATTTCCCGTATATCTACAAGAGGTTTATTATTTTTTTTAATTATTAATATTGCAATAACAAGTTAGTCAATTTTATTCAGAGAAAAGCGGTTTTTTTTGGCTTCCAAGTGCTATACAAAATTGAAAAATCGAAAATCCTCATTTACCTCGAGAAATATCTTTGATAAATGCATTTTGATTTTTTTTATTCTATAATAATTTTTCAAACATGTCTATAGAAACATTGTCAAATTAATATTTGGCATTGACCAAAAAAATTATGTGCTATGACCTTTGATTTAGAGTTCAGGCCCCAAGTCGATTTTAATGCGCAAAAACCGTCTCTTTAGTCGATTAAAATTATAAAAATTCATTTATATAATTCAGTGTTGTCACAAAAAATTTATCCTGTATTTCGCTGACCTTTTACTGATTCCTAAATTCAATCATTCAAAACTTTAATAATTTTGTTAAATAAATATTTAAATATACTTCGCTTATTTGTCTTTCCACGGTAAATAAAATTTTAAAAATTTCAATCTAAAACCTACTGAATGTTTCTTCTAATTTTCATCAATTTTCATTTTTAAATTTACACTTAAAAATTTGTCATTAAAATTTTTACGAATTTAACATATTTTCAAAATTTAGAACATTAAAATTCTTCAAAAGTTGATTTTCAAAAATCATAATAAAATACTTGAAAAAATCAACTATTTTCAATTTAATTTTACGAAATTTCAATTATTCAACAATTTTCTCATTAGAGGCATATTTTAAAAATTTTATTATCTTTAAAAAATTACTTAAAATAATTTTTCAAACATTTATCAGGGTTGCCACGCTTTTGCTCATTTCAAATTCCCTGACTTTTCCAGGTTTTCCAGGTTTTTAAAACTACATTTATATTTTACAAAATTTTTAAATCAAACATTTTTGAAATTAAACATCTTATAAAAAATTGTTATAAAACATGAAAATATCGATCACTCCAATGCAATCGATATCTTCATGTTTTATAATAATTAAAAATGTTGGACTGATAAAATCATCATTTTATACCTATTATTATTATTATAAGAATATTACTTTGTTACTGCAACTTATTCAAAATTACTTTCATTATTTTAATTCAATTATTGTTTTCCACAATTTTTAACTCAAATTCTTCTTTATAAAGTGTAAATTAATTATTATTAATAATTTCTGAAAAATTTCTTTCAACATTTTCAAATCCTTTTGTTTACAATTCAATTTTACGAAATTTCATCGATTATTCAGGTATTCGGAAATTCTTCAATCAAATATATATTAGAAAATAAAAACTTTAAATAACTTCAAAAAAAATTCAATTCAACTTTTACAAAAAAAATTAAATCTACACAATTTTAAGTTAAAAGTATGAAAAATTCAAACATTCAAAGATTATAATTTGAGACCTGCTTTTCAAAACTCAATTATTATCTAAAGTTTTAATTGAAATTCATATTTCAATCAATTATTATTAGAAAATTCTACGACAATTCAATTATTTAAATACAAAAAAAATAATTTATTGAAGAATCAATGTTTTTTAAAATTCAACTCTCATTTAAAGAATTTTATCAACAAATTTTTAAATAGGTAATTGAAATTCTTTTGACGAATTTCAATAAAATTTTTAACAGGGTTGCCACGGACCTGGAAAACCTGGGAAACCTGGAATTGTCATAGATTTTTTTCAGTCATGGAAAACCTGGAATTTCAGGGAATTTTATAAAGCCTGATACTAAAAACTCAATTTTTTTGTATTTGAGTCGTAAAAATTTCAAGTTAGATTAAAAATGTATTAAAAATAATTGAATCTCTGTTAAAAAAATTTCATTGAATTGAGAAAGGTTTTTGAGAATAATTGAAATATTGCCAAGAATTTTATTAAAATTTTTGAAAATAATTGAACTTTAGAGAAAAATTTTAATATTTATAAAAATAATTGAAATTTCGACTATAACTTTTATTAAACTTTTGACCATAATTGAATTTCTGCGAAGAATTTTATTACTTTTGAAAATAATTGAATTTCTTTGATGAATTTGAATAAAATTTTTAAGAATAATTATAAATTTTTCGAGAAATTCCATTAAAATTGTATTAAAAATAATTGAAATTTTGCGATGAGTTTTATTATTTATGAAAATAATTGTAAATCTATAATTTTTTTGATTATTTATGAAAATAATTGAATTATTGCAAAGAAATATTGTAAAGGCAACTCTTTTAAAATTGAATTAAGAAAATTGAATTAAATAAAAATTAGATTTCAAGAATAAGCACAATAACTTTAGAAAACAATAATTTTCCAGGATTCCAATGAAAATTCCCTGACTTTTCCAGGTTTTTTCAAGGTTTATAAAAATTCCCTGACATTTCCAGGTTTTCCAGGTTTCCAGGTTGCGTGGCAACCCTGAATTTATTTACACTTATTTTTTAGACTACAAAAAATCTAGTGATGAATTACAAGCGAGTAACTAAAATAATTCAATTATCTATTTTCAATATTTTTTGAGAAAGTTCCTAAAAAATTAAATTATTTTGAAAAAAAGTTCACCTAAAACATTTCTAAAATCCACTTTTGTTTACAAGATGATTTCATAAAATTTGAAATAATTTTAAAAAATTTTAATTTAATATATGTATAACTTATTTAATGAAAAAGGAATAGAAGGGTTTTAAAAAACTAACTTATTCAGAATTTTTAATTAAAATTTTTTTAAATTTAACATTTCTAAAACTTTAATTTAAAACTCTTTGAAATTCAATCTTTATTAATACCTAATATTAGTAATATTAATTTGACATTCTAAAATATAAAAATAGTTACTAATTAATATTTGTAACTTTTTATAATTTTGAATCTGAAATAATTTAAATTTTTCTCTTTAATTTTTATATCTTTCTCCTTTAATTTAAATTTTGCTTAGAATTTCATTAAAATTTTTGAAAATAATTCAATTGCTTTGAAAAATTTTAAGGAGATTTTGTGAAAATAATTAAATTCTTTTTTGAGAAATTTAATTAAAATGGTATTAAAAATAAGTAAATTCTTCCAATTCAATTTTTTTTATAATTATATTGAAAAGAATTGAATTCCTGTAAAGAATTCTACAAGGAAAAAATAAATTCAAGTTTTGTAAAATCTGCTAAATTTATTTTTTCCGTGTATTGAATATTTTGAAAATATTCGATTGTTTGAAAGAATTTTATTAAAGTTGAATTATTTTAAATTTTTTATCTGAAATTATTTAAGAATTAAAAAATGATTTTTGAAAATAAAAAATTCTACAATTTACATAATTTTTAATAAATCAAGTAGCCAGTTTGAATTTTAGAAATGGAATATTTTTCAAGTAGGTACTTTTGATAAATATTTTTACTTTTTCCCTCAAAATAACTATTGTTTTTATTTAAAAAAAAACACTTTTTAATAAAAAAATTGTAAAATTCCTGGTCCAAAAAAATTACATGTGGCCACCCTGGAATAAATTTTAAATTTCAGTTAATTGAATAAAGTGTTATCATATTTTCTGCTACACTCAGCTAAAAAAATTCACCGGATTGTCCAGGCCGAAATCCGTGTGGAGGTTTGAAACAATTTGGGTAGAAAGCCGCATGTAAATTTTGTAATCCTCTTAGGTCATTTGAGAACAAAGTGTTATTTGAAAATGGACATAAAACTAAAATTTTGATACCCCAAAGAGGTACATTTTACGCGTTTTTAAAGAGGTTCTTCAACATATTTCACGTTTATTTAGAATTTTTAAAGAATCCCGAGGGAAATTCAAACGGGAATCTGTGCGAATTGGTTCAAATCTCCCCACGGATTTCCGCCTGAAAAATCCTGGCAGATATTTTCATTTGGACATAAATGTCATTCATTTTAAAAGTTGATGAAAACTGATTATTTTTACACATATTTTAATGTGAGCAAGGTGTAATAAAATAAAATTAGTACTATAATAAATTATAATAATTTGTCAATAACAGGGCTCTAACTAGGTTCTGTAAATCCCGTAAAAGTCCGTAAATGTCCGTAAATTTGCTTAAAGTCCGCAAAACTCAGTTTTTTTAAAAAAGAAAGTCCTTAAAATCCATAATTTTATTGAAAAAGGACGAAAAGTTCATAAATTGTACGATATAATTTGTAAAATTTTAGAAAAATTACAAATGATTGCAGAAATTCAATTATTTTCAAAAGTAATAAACTTCGTCGCAGAAATTCAATTATGTTCCAAATTTTCAAAAAATTCCAATCAAAATTTTAATTATATCTTTAGAAATAATAAAATTCTTCTCCAAAATTCAATTATTTTCAAAAACTTTAATAAAATTTTCCAAAAGAATTCAATTATTTAAAAAAAATTTTGATAAAATTCTACGCAAACATTTAATTATTTTCAAAAATAATAATAATTTCACAGGAATTCAATTATTTACAAATGTTTTATAAATTTCCTCGCAATCATTCAATTATTTTCATAAATAATAACATTTTTACAGGAATTAAATTATTTTCATAAATAATAAAATTCTATTTAGGAATTCAATTATTTTCACAAATAATAAAACTCATCGCAAAATTTTAATTATTTTTAATACAATTTTAATGGAATTTCTCGAAAAATGTATAATTATTCTTAAAAATTTTATTCAAATTCATCAAAGAAATTCAATTATTTTCAAAAGTAATAAAATTCTTCGCAGAAATTCAATTATGGTCAAAAGTTTAAAAAAATTTATCTTCAAAATTTCAATTATCTTTATAAATATTAAAATTTTTCTCCAAAATTCAATTATTTTCAAAAATTTTAATTAAATTCTTTTTAACAAATTCAATTTTTTTTCAAAAATTCTCCTTCAGTCAATGATTTTCAATATCTACTATTTCAATAAAATTTTCCAAAAGAAATGAATTATTTTAAACATTTCTTATAAATTTCTTCGCAATAATTCAATTATTTTCAAAAATATTCAATTTACGTTTACAGAGATTCAATTATTTTTATAAATATGTAATACAATTTTTTACAGGGATTCAATTATTATTTTCATAGATAATAAATCTCATTGCAGAATTTCAATTATTTTTGATACAATTTTAATCAAATTCCTCGAAAAATGTATAATTATTCTTAAAATTTTATTAAAAGTCGTCGAAAGAATTCAATTATTTAAAAATTTGTTAATAAAATTCTTTATGAGAATTCAATTTTGAGAAACATTCAATTATTCAATAAATTATTTATTTTTGTATCAAAAATAATTAGGTATTTAAAAAGAAATATTATTAAAAAATTCGTCTCAAGAATTCAAATATTTTCAAAAATAATAAAATTCTTAGCAGAAATTCAATTATCGTCAAAAGTTTAAAAAAAGTTACAGTCAAAATTATTCAATTATTATTATAATATTAAAATTTTTCTCTAAAATTCAATTATTTTCCAAAATTTTAATAAAATTCTTGGCAATATTTCAATTATTTAAAAAAATTTTAATAAAATTCTTGACAAAATTTCAATTATTTTCAAAAACTTTTTTCAATTCAATGAATTTTTTTTACAGAGATTAAATTATTTTTAATACATTTTTAATATAATTTCTCGAAAAATGAAATTATTCTTAAACAGGGTTGCCACAAAACAACGATTTTAAAATTCCATTACTTTTCCAGGTTTTCTAGACCATTTTTTAAAAAATTCCAGACCCAAAAATAAAATTGTTTTGGTATGTTTTTAGCTAATTACGACAAAAAATATAAAATCCTTCAAGTAAAGTGTTAATAAAATAAGTTATTAATTTTTAATTTTATTAATAACAAAAATTTAAGTTAAAATTTGTGAGATTATTTAAGATACGCTCCGAAGAAAGGTGAGAAGCAAATCTTAGGAGCAAATCTCTTTAAATTTAAAAATTTAGTTTAGTTCAGAATTTTTCACAATTAAACAATTAAACAAGTATTTGAAACATTTTAATAACATTTTATGAAACTGAAGTTACCTACGTTTATCCAATGACAATTTTTTTTTTTTGATAATTATTTATTTTAATGTTAGAACCCCTTTAAATAATTTCAAAAGATCGAAGTCGGGGAAATCAGCAATTTTTATTTTTTACACGGATTTTCCAAAAAACCATATATTTCAACAAAATTATTATTTCCTCACCTCATAAGCAATTTTTTCTTTTACTAATTATTTATTTTAATGTGAGAAGTCATTTAAAAAAATTGTAAGATGATCTATGGCAAGGCAATCAGTGATTTTTAATTATTTTTGTCGTTGATTTTCCAAATATCCCGAAATTTCAACTAAATTATTATTTCCTCGCTTCAGAAGCAATTTTTCTCTATTGCTAATTGTTTATTTCTTAATATGGATGCACTTGCAATATTTTAAAGGGCTTCTTACATAAAAAACAATTAGCAAAAGAAAAAATTTTCATTGCATAAAAGTTGGTAACTTCAGTTTCATAAAATTTTTAGGTTTCTAAAATGTATTAATTTTAAAATTATTTAAAGGAAGATATTGACTAAAAGAAACTAAAATTTAGAAATGCCATATTGATTTCAATTGTAAGCACTAAATTAAAAATCAAAAAGTTGTATAATGTCAACTTGAAAACTTGAAATTTTTACGACTCAAATACAAAAAAATTGAGTTTTTAGTATCAGGCTTTATAAAATTCCCTGAAATTCCAGGTTTTCCATGACTGAAAAAAATCTATGACAATTCCAGGTTTCCCAGGTTTTCCAGGTCCGTGGCAACCCTGTTAAAAATTTTATTGAAATTCGTCAAAAGAATTTCAATTACCTATTTAAAAATTTGTTGATAAAATTCTTTAAATGAGAGTTGAATTTTAAAAAACATTGATTCTTCAATAAATTATTTTTTTTGTATTTAAATAATTGAATTGTCATAGATTTTTCTAATAATAATTGATTGAAATATGAATTTCAGTTAAAACTTTAGATAATAATTGAGTTTTGAAAAACAGGTCTCAAATTATAATCTTTGAATGTTTGAATTTTTCATACTTTTAACTTAAAATTGCGTAAATTTAATTTTTTTTGTTAAAGTTGAATTGAATTTTTTTGAAGTTATATTTGATTGAAGAATTTCCGAATACCTGAATAATCGATGAAATTTCGTAAAATTGAATTGTAAACAAAAGGATTTGAAAATGTTGAAAGAAATGTTTCAGAAATTATTAATAATAATTAATTTACACTTTATAAAGAAGAATTTTAGTTAAAAATTGTGGAAAACAATAATTGAATTAAAATAATGAAAGTAATTTTGAATAAGTTACAGTAACAATATTCTTATAATAATAATAGGTATAAAATGATGATTTTATCAGTCCAACATTTTTAATTATTATAAAACATGAAGATATCGATTGCATTTGAGTGATCGATATTTTCATGTTTTATAACAATTTTTTATAAGATGTTTAATTTCAAAAAGGTTTGAATTAACAATTTTGTAAAATATAAATGTAGTTTTAAAAACCTGGAAAAATTCCGTTTTTTAACCCGGAAAACCTGGAAAAGTCAGGGAATTTGAAATGAGCAAAAGCGTGGCAATCCTGTAAATTAATTATTTATTTACGTGTTCTTTTGCATGTCTTTTGGATCACGTAAATACATAATTAAATTAAAATTATATTAATGAAAGGTTTATTAACCATAATTTTTTAAATCTTTTGATAAAAGTTATTTCTTATTAAATTTATATTTTAACTAGACGGCCAATCATTGTACCGATTACCCTATTTGAATGAAAATGATGAAAGTAATTTTGAAGATGTTACAGTAACAATTTTCTTATAATATAAAATAACGATTTTATCACAGGGCCATCTTCACTTATTATAAAACATGAAGAAATTTAATTTATAGTTTGAAGTAAAATGTTATCTTATTTGACTCTGACTGGTTATGTTTTTATCATAGTAATTGGTCCGTATTTTTAAATATTTTCACTAATTCGAGTCCTACAATGAAAACTTGCGGAATAGCCAGTAACATTTACGTAAGAATGAGATTAGGAATATATACGTCGTAATTTGGGAAAAAGAATTAGAGAGATGATTTTCTGTTATGTAACACTTTTATCTAAACGTTGCGCAACAACAACAGCAGGAAAAGTTTTTGATTTGACCCGAAATTTGCGGAGATCCTTGTAGATGAATATAAGCATTTTAGGTCGAAAATAAATTTGTAACTGATAATAATCATTAAATATTTATAAAATTATTAATTTGGGGATAAATTCGAATTCTACAGATACAGAAGTTGAAAGTGGAAGATACTTGAACAACAAAAAGTGAAGAACAACAATTGACAAGAGTGAAAAGAATGAAAGTTAGGATGAGAGGAATCTTTGTTTTTTATTCGTTGCGGAAGACGGAAAACGGAGGCGCGTGGTGCGGTGGTTTTAAAGTGATGGATCGAAGGAAATCTTTGCGCGCGTCGACCACTTTTTGAGACGTGTGCGATCGTATTCGCAAAGATTTGCCACGCCCTTGACGTAAACACGTCGCCCTATGTTGTCCGAAGAATTAAGGGAAATTAACGCGATGCTCGATTCATAAGAAGTCATTAACCCGAGGCGAGAGGTGGTCGGTGCATTCGCCGCGCTGTATCTGACTGAACATCTATACGCACTACGTCGATAGCGCCGTATTGGGAAACCAACTTTTCAACCAATTTCATCAATTCTTCTGGTACAAGAGGACAGTCCAGAATAGTCCAACTGCCGATTGGAATTTCAAGGGAAAACACGGGGTAATAGGATTTATTGAACCGCGCCCATGCGCTCGGCAAGAGCATTGCGATGGTCAATAGTTTTAGATCATCTCTTCAAACACTTATCTTAAAGAATCACTTTGCGAATACGATTCGAATTACGTTCCACAGTTTTAATCCTAATCTTTACCCCAATAGGAAATAAAAAAGTCTTTTCCCCTTGATCACTACAGACGAAAATTATTTAAGATGAAGATGAAAACAAAAGTTGAATTCGTTAAGTTTTCTTAAATAGGGGGATATTTATTTTATAGGGGATATTAGTGGATCATCTTACCAAGGTCGCTTGCATTTTCGCGAAATGTCCAAATGTTGAAGACGTGGATTCAGCGAGGATGAGATTTAGCATTTAATCTCTGTTTGAATCAATTTGTCAGTCGCATTGTATTCCTGGTTATGAAATATCTTGACAACACACAAGAAGTTCATTTTCGAAGGGGTAGCAGTTCGCGAAGGATGTTTCACTGAACCGAGAACGATAAACGCTTACAACACGTTGTCAAATGGAACACGGGAATAATTTTGTCGGAATGATAATAATGCGGTGACACCATCACAGATTCTGATGTGTATACATATGATTTAGTCTGCCACGTTCCGTCCACCCCAACACGCCCCAACTGACGATCACTGACGATAGAACCGATAGAGGTCGTCGCAGTTGAAGCAGGGGATGAGGGTGGCGAGTGGCGACTGCTCAGTGCCTAGTACATGAAAAACAGGCAAGAGAAACAGAGTCAAACTTCTATTCGGATTCGGCAAAATACAAGCAATCTGATTTCAGTGATGCACACTGCAACAGCTGTTGTTAATCGGTGCATTTTGCCGGCAAATTGAACGAATTGAGCAAATTGAACTTTCATATTTTCCACAAGTAATCATAACCATTTTCAATTCTAAACTCATCATTTTTTAACTTTCATTTATTCTTTATAAATAATTCATCTTTTTTCATTTCTCGATTTAAAAACTTATGTACACTTTAAATCGTATATAAGATCAGGGTTGTCACACAAATTTTATTTTCTTTTTCACTCATTTCCAAACAAAATTTCGACTTTTTTCCTGGCCCTAAAAAATATTCTACGATTCATTCTAAAAATGATAAGTTCGTAGAAATTTAATTAATTTAAATAATATATCAAAATTCAATTATTTTAAATATCTACTACTTCAATAAAATTATTCTTAAAAATTGTATTAAAATTCATGTAAAGAATTTTAATTATCTATTTAAAAATTTGTTGACAAAATTCTTTGAGAATTCAGTTTTAAAAAACATTATTCAATTCTTCAATAAATTATTTATTTTTGTATTTAAATATTTGAAGTCTCGTAGAATTTTCGAATAATTGATTTAAATATGAATTTCAGTTAAAATTTTAGATAATAATTGAATGTTAAACTCTTTAAATTTGAATAAGTAAAAATGGTTTGTAATTTGAATTAGTGACTGACTTTTTGCTTTTGACTTAGCAGATTTTAATTATAAATATTCGTTTTTTCTAATTTAATAGTAAAATTTATTTATTCAAAACCAAAAATTCAGTCACTAATTCCAATTAGTAAACAATTGTACTAATTCTAATTAAGAGAAAAATTCCTATAGCGTGGATTTTTAGAAACAATTAAATTTTGAAAAGGTTTCAAATCATAATTTTTGAAAATTTCAATTTTTCTAATAATTTTTATGAATAGTTACAGTAACAATATTCTTATAATATAAAATAATTATTTTATCAGTCGGTCATCTTTAATAATTAATTAATTATTATAAAACATGAAGATATCGATTGCTCCGAGTCGAAGACTCGGAGTGATCGATTTCTTCATGTTTTATAACAATTTTTTTTAATTGTTTAATTTAAAAAAGGTTTGAATTTGAATGTTTTGAAAATCTTAATTCCTATGGAAAAATAATAATCATTAAATATTTATTTAAAAAAGAAGTAATAGAATATTTTTCTGAGTAATAATTTTTAAACTGAATCAGAATATTCTTTAGAGTGAAGGAAAAGTTAGAATTTTGTCTGAAATTTAAGGGAAAGTCAGGGAAAAACAAAATTAAATTTTTGTTAACAACAAATGTATAGTTTTAAAAACTTGGAAAAATTCCGTTTTTTAACCTGGAAATGTCAGAGAATTTGAAATGAGCAAAAGCGTGGCAACTCTGAATAAGAAACTTGGGGTAAATGTAAGCATAATTGCAACTGGTATTTTGTGACGACATTTATTATGAATCAAATTAATATACTTAAATATTCAATTCGACCGCATTTGCATCGTATCCGTCCAAGTATTTCTCTATTTATCGTTGAAAGGAATTTTGGTTAAAGAAAACTTCTAACATATAGAATTCTGTTTTTCGAAAATAATACACCATAACTCAAAATCCACTGGACCGATCGTTTTAAATTTGGTACAGTACGTCTTTACATAATTCCATTGGGATTTTGTTTTAAAAGAAAAAATTATTAAATTTATAATAACAAATTAGACGATTTTTATACAGAAAATCCGCTTTTTATAGATAATTATAATGTTAAAGAAAAATTTGAATAATTTTTAAAAAAAGTGGCTCAATTTATTGAAAATTAGTAAAATATACTTTGAATTTAGTCAAAGTTATTCTAAAATTAATAATTTGTCAAAAATTCCGAACAATTTGGGGTTTCTTTAAGGGTGAAAATTATTTCATATCTGTAACCTTTTATGAAAAAATTCCTATGTTTAAAAACTGAGAATTTATATATAAAAAAATTTTTTAATTTTAAAATATACTAAAATTTATCCAGAGTTTGCGAAAATTAAAAATTTTTTCTTCAATTATAACTAAAAAATTTTCTAACTTACAAGAAATGACAATTTTCACAAGATTTTTCTTAAAAAAGCGCAAAAGGGGAGAAAATTTATTATTTTAGGTGCTTTATTAGGGATTTTATTAATTTAAAGGAATGAAAAGGGAGAAACAGGAAAATAAAAAGATTAGGCTAAAAACGAAACGCAGTGCTTGTTTTTTTGAAAAAAATAAAAAATGTAGAGTATTTTATCAATATAAGTCGAAAAAATTGTTGTTTTAACTATTTTTTGATAGTCAATACAATTTTTTTTTTCTAACTTTTTAACTATATAGTTAGAAAGCAGTCGAATCTACTAACAATTTTTTTGAGTATAATCCGATTGTACGTTACATAATAAATTAAGTAAAGTAACAATTTTACAAATTTTTTATAAAGAAATATTTTTAAATATAATAAATTTTATTATTTTAATTTGTAACATAAAATTATTTTTATACAAGTAGGTATACTTACTTTGATTCTGTGCATATGAAAGGCGCAAAAAGCTGAAAAATACTAATAATAAAATAAAAAATAATTACAAAATATAAAATCTAAAAAGTTAATTTTTAAATTTAAATATTATATGTATTCAAGAAGTCAACTTCGGAATGTTTGTGCGAATTTGAAAATTTTAAAACACACGAAATTTATGTTTCTTTTCATGGTGAATATTATTTTTATTATTAATTTGTGATGCGCTCCCGCGAAAGGTAAGCAAACGAATTTTAGGTTATGTTTATGTTAGATTTATCTTGATTAAAAGTTGCTTTTTAATTGTGTACATTTGAAAACAGTTATTATTGAATATTTTGAACGTAATAAAACCTTGAACATGAACAATTTGTAGTAAAAATTGACTTTATTTCTGTATTTTTACTCGAAAAATTATAAAACATAACCTAAAATTGTTCGCTCCTTTCTTATGAGTGTGTCATATTTGAGGGGCTGATAGTCAAAATGGTATAAAATAACATTGGGAGCAAAAACGAGTTAAAATGATTGCATGTAATTTATGGATAAATTAATTATTATTATTGATCAAAAAATATTTTAAATAGTAAAGAAAGACTTTTAAATATTGTTTTAATTAATAATTTAAGGTAACTTATAATTAATATTTTGTAAATTATTAGTATAATAAACTTATCAATAAATACATAAATCATTTTAACCCGCTTTTGCTCTCAAAATTACTTATCCCACTTTTACTATCAGACCCTCATTTATAAGACCACTTGGCTTATCAGGGTTGCCACAAATATTTAATTTTATTTTTCCCTGACTTTTCCCTGATTTCCAGACAAAATTCTCACTTTTTCCCTGACCCTAAAAAATATTAATTCTGATTCACTCTAAAAATTATTAGAAACTCAAAAAAAAAAAAATACATATATTCTATCACATTTATTTACAAATTTCATTAATTGTAAAATTATTCAAAAACATCAATAATTTCTTTTTTAAATAAATATTTAATCATTATTATTTTTCCGTAGGAATTAAAATTCTTCAATACATTCAAATTCAAACCTTTTTGAAATTCAACAATTTATACGAATATAATTACAAAACATGTTTTGTTATAATTTAAAATACCATGAAATTTTGCAAAAAAAATTTTTATTATTTACAAAAATCCTAATAAAATCCTTTGCAAGAATTTAATTATTTTTAAAAAGTAGTAAATTTTCTCAAAAAAATTCAATTATTTGAAAAAATTGTAATAAAATTCGTTGCAATAATTAAATTATTTTCATAAATAATAAATCGATTATTCGGTAATTCATTTTTTAATCAATTTTTATTAGAAAATTCTAGAAGAATTCAATTATTTAAATTAAAAAATAAATAATTTATTGAATAATTGAATGTTTGTTAAAATTGAATTCTCATAAAGAATTTTATCAACAAATTTTTAAATAATTCAATTATTTTGACAAATTTTAATGAAATTTTTAAGAATAATTACATTTATCGCGGAATTTAATTAAAATATTGTATCAAAAATTAATTAAGATCCTGCGATAAGTTTTATTATTTATGAAAATAATTAAAACTTTTCCCAAAAATATTATTAAAATTTTTCTAAAATAATTGAATTTCAGTGAAGAATTTTATTATTTATAAAAATAATTGAATATCCTTGAAAAGAACTTTTAAAAATTTTTTTTAAATAATTGAATTCATGCGACGAATTTTATAAAAATTTTTTGAAATAATTGATATTTTTCGAAAAATGTTATGAAATTTTGTATATTAAATAATTAAATTCATGTGAAAATTTTATTATTTATGAAAATAATTAAATTATTTCGAAGAAATTTATTAAAAATTTTATAAATTATTGAATTCCTGTGAAATTTTAACAAGAATTTTATTCAAGTTTTTAAAAATAATTGAATTTTGAAGAAGAATTTTATTAATATTATAACAATAATTGAAATTTTAACAAGAATTTTTTAAAAAAAATTTTAAATAATTGAATATGAAAGAATTTTATTATTTATAAAGATAATTGAAATTTTGACAAGAATTTTTTTTTAATTTTTGAACATAATTGAATTTCTGCGAAGAATTTTATTCCTTTTGAAAATAATTTAATACTTCCAACGAATTTTATTCAAGTTTATAAAAATAATTGAATTTCGGTGAAGAATTTTACTATTTCTAAAAATAATTGAATTATTTGAAAGAACTTTTAAAAATTTTTTTTAAATAATTGAATTCCTGCGACGAATTTTATAAAATTCTTTTTAAATAATTGATATTTTTCAAAAAAAAAAAAATAATTGAAAGATAATTCAATTGTATTATATATAAAGATAATTGAAATTTTATTTTGACGAGAATTTTAAAAAAATTTTTGAATATAATTGAATTTCTGCGAAAAATTGTATTACTTTTGAAAATAATTGGATTTTTGGAATTATTTGTATCTTTTCCAAAATTCAATTTATTTTTAGTATTTTTAACTAAAATTCTTTTATAGTTCTTGTAAAATTAAGTTATTTAAAAAGAAATTATTGTCTGAAATAGAAAAAATTCAAGGTTTTATATTAAAATTCGTGGTAATTTCATAGTTTACGAGGCAAACAAAAAAAAACATAAAAATTCAGAGTTTTTTCGTGAATTTTTAAGCTTCAATTTTTTCCAGTACTTTTACTAAAAATCCCTGACTTCCCTGACCTGTGGCAACCCTATGACTTATAAATAAAGGAAGTGATTGGATTTGGGAGTAAAGAAAAATTACACTGATTAAGAAAGGTAATTCACATACAACTGTTTATTGAGACATGTAGAATACATCTGGTCATACACAAAAATCTTTGACACTTTAAATCAAGCTCCTAGCCCAAAAAAGGAACCATATTTGTAACATCGTTTTTCCTTCGAATTAAATCATTATCTTTAACTACGTCACACTAAAATTAGGGGCAACTTTTTAAATTGCGGGAAATTAAAAAAGCAAAGCAATCGGTAGCTGAATAGTAAGAATAAAAGGAATTTTCTTTTAAAACACAGTAATCGGGAAAAAATTTAAATATATGTATGTACGTGTATGTGTGTGTGTTGGCGTGCAATAATAATAATCATAATAATTACTATATAATTAATAGTAATAATAATCGTAATCGTAATAAAAATTTCATTTAATAATGGAGCTGATAGATGGAACGAAATCAATCCAAAGATACGTCTGCGTATTTTTGCTTTTTTTTTCTTTTCTACATTTTTCTTTTTTTTCATGCCGTTTGTTTAATTTCTTTTCTTTTCTTTTCTTTTTTTCTTTGCTTTTCGATTAATAACGCGTGGCCGTAATTTTTTTTTTTCATTTCGTTTTCTCCCGCCTATCTCACTGCTAAATAACATCACGTCACAAAAAATGCATATTCGCAGGAATATAATATATAATATATTTATATATAATTAAAAAACACGTTTTTGAGCCGTTTCTCAACGTGAATCATGTCCGGCCCAAAAAATCACACAACATCCGCATGACACGGGTCAACCAAATATAAGAAGAGCCTAAGTTCTTTTCCCGAGGATGTGTGCCGCGAAAAAGCGCGGGGCATTGACCGGGTAAAAGGGCGCGTGGCTTATGGCGTCGCCAGCCACAGTGGTGCATTATCCTAAATGCAACCTAAAAACCCCCTCCCACAACGGGCGTTCCAACTTGAATTTAAAGTTCACCGTTTCGTCGTAGAAAAAAAAATTATCCAAAAATGGTACGGAAGATGGGTGACATTCAAGTTGGAACGTCCTCAAAAACAGGGCGAGGGCCAATATCGTAACGCTAGTACCTATAGATCAGTCTAAAGTCTCGTCACCGTGAACTGCCTTCGCCTTTGCCAGACATGCTCTTCCTTGCCCCCGCAAGCCGTACTCTTATATTATCTGCGCAATGTGTTTGTTATTACCATATATATGTGTGTCGCGTGTATGTGGGTGTGTCCATTTGCTTCTCTCTAGTCGAATTCATCGAACTTCGCCCTTCTTACAAACTTTTTCCAATTCCAAAATTTTACAATTTCAAATTCAATACTTCCAACATGATTCGCCTACATCCGGCAAGGGCCCTAGTGGCGCCTGGACTAACCATAAAGCCCCATTAGTTAGAAAAGGATAGACATTCTCTATCCTTCTCTTACTAATCGGATTTTCTCCCTACTCCCCAAGGACCCTTGGCCGCATCTAGGAAAATTATATCCGCTAGCTTCAAGAAATATTTACGTCGCAAGTATAAAAACCAAGGAGGAATCAAACGGGCACTCGAAAGTTAATCCTACTCAAAAATTTTATATTCTTAAATCAAAAAGTATATTTCTAACTTCAAGGGGAGACACTACCTTTACTTTGACCCCTTTAAAATAAAAGTAACGCGCTCCCAAGAAAGGTACCTAAGAAGTAAAAGAATAAGTTATGTTCGTGTAAAATTTATCTTGTTTAAAAGTTTATGTTTAATTAATAATTGATTCTCTTTCTGTATTTTTACTCAAAAAATTAAAAACCTCAAATTTTTTGCTATTTAATGGCTTTTTGCAAAGCAGATAGCCAAAACACTTATTGACCGAGGTAATATTTTTTCCCACGTCATTTTTAACCTAAAAACATATAAGAGTCAAAAATATTTAATTTTTGAAGAGGTTAGAATTTTTTTATTTTCATCTATTGCAACGACAATTTTTTTTTAATTTTTGAACACGTTAGAAGTGTTTTCTTTTCACCTATTACAAAGTCAATTTTAACTGCTTCTCAGAACCAGTGCATCAAATTGAGAAAAAAAATTAAAGGTTCAAAGCAAAATTTAAAGATTCGAATAATAAAAATCGATCTTCTGTTACAGTTTTTATTTTACAATGCCAATTTTTTTTCTTGCATATTTCACAATTTTAAACAACTTCTCGCGTAGATTTACGAGAATAATACACTGTGAAAAGAAAAAAATTCTAACCTCTTCAAAAATTAAATATTTTTGAAGAAAAATAAAAAAAAAATATTAAAAAATAAATAAAATATAATATTTATATTTATTTATTTTAAATATTTTTTTTTTCTAATGTTTTTAGGTTCAAAATGACAAAGGAAAAAAATATTACCTAGTTTAATAATTTTACTTTAAGGGCGGTCAAAATAAAGGTGGTCTCGCCTTAAAATATCAACAATTTTAGTTTTACATTAAAAAGTAGCCACTGGATAAAACTAAAAATTTTTTTGAATTTAAGAAACGATTTTAGTAACAAAACCTAAAAATCAAATCGTTCCTTAAATTCAAAAACCATTTTCATTTTTATCAAAAGGCAAATTTTAATCAATCCAAAATCAAATTTTCTTATCCTTTTTGACCAGAAATTGATTTTCGATTTAAAAATACGAACCTATTCGTCCCATTTCCTCCTTATTTAAATTTTCTTTAAAAATAAATAATTAACAAAGTCGTTAATGACCAAAAACCCCGTAAGTGATTTCACTAAAAAACGGAAATTTTTTTTAAAACTGAATACAAAAATAATTAAAAAATTAATCTTGTCGAATGTGAATTTCGAAGAGGGCTCAACTCTGAAAACTGTAAAAGTAATTTTCAGATAACAATTGAAAGAGAAAATTTTCGGTTTTCAGAGTTGAGTTTTTTTTCGAAATTCACGATTTTGTTGACATGCTTTTCAATAAAAAATGCATTTCATGCATTTAAAATATTTATTTATTAAAATTTTAATTTGCAATTTTTTCAAGTCGAACGTTTGCCCAATTTTAGATTATAATTCGTTTCAACTTAGTCCAATTTCATTATTTTGTATTTTTAAAGTTAAGAAAGCAAAATTTTAAATTCCTTTTAATGGAAGGGTAAAGAATTTTATTTTCAACAACTGGGACAATTCAAAGTTCCATTTGGACTAAAATTAAAATTTCGTTATTATTTTGTACTATTGTTGTCGTTAATTAAATTTTAGGTCATGTTATAGGTATACCTGTATCTTTTTTTTATTTTTTTTTTTACCAAAAATTCTAATTTCTATTCAAATGCAATTTTAAATTGTTCGAAATGTTAGAAATCGAAGCAAAAGTTAGTTCAGTGCCATAAATTCGTATTTGAAAAGAAGAAAAACTGGACTATTTTTGTTTCGACTGTCCGTCAGTCTTGATTAAAAGAGTCGACTTAAAATATTAAGCTAAATTGATTTTAGGGCAAAAAATTGTTGAATTTTCTAAAACTTAACGTTTCGATTCGAAATTCGAGTCAATGCAAAAATTTTTTAAATAATGAAGCTTTTCATTTTTCAATAAAAAAAAAAACCAATCTCCCCGCCTTGGAAATAATTTTTCCCAATGAACCTCTTAGTAAACCTCTCTTAACCATCGGGCGAAGTTCGGTATCATTCCCCTTAATAACCGATTACTCGGTTTTTTGTTATAAAAAAAAACTTTTTTTTTAAATTTTCTTCTTCTACATGTATAACTTTTTTTTTTAAACCAATCCTCGCCGTTTATAATTATTACAATTTTTCTTTCGACAAAGACCAGAATTTTTAATATGAAATATTATCATGTCACAAAAACCCACTCAGTATGATTAGCGATATTCATTCTTATCCGTATTGTTAATATTAATATTATATCCTCAATATTATGCTTTTATAAATAGAGTAGGGTACGTAGAATTAGAATAAGGTAGGAAAGAGACAGATTCATGACTAAAGTAAAAGAATTTTGAGTAAATATTTTTTCATGAGAGGCTTTTCTCTGTGACTGATTTTCTCGGTCCTGATTTAATCACGAGTGGGCCTTATCGATACAAAAAGTTTTTTTTTTTTTTTTTTTTTTTTTGGCTTTTTTTTAATTAGAATTCAGACGGTTTTTTTTTGAGTTTTCAAGGGAGGGTTTTTGGGGGTAGGAGTTTGGAGCTCAACATTATTACTAGGTGAAGAACATTTTTTTTTTTTTTTCATTTTTGCAGCCAATGCGGCGGCGATTTTAAAGAAGAAATAATTATATAGAATTACGTAAAAACATGAATAAAGATTAACAAAATGCTCATAAATAAGAGGATTTGCGAGCAATTTATCTTCGTCCAGACTGTTTTGGTGTTACTCTCGTTTTCGTTACTGTATTACGCAATGAAAAAACTATTGTGTTTTGGATTCACGATTTTTTTCTTCTTTTTTTAGTTTTAGTTTTAGTTTTAGTTTTTCCAATTTCCAAACTGAAAATTGGAATGTAAAATTGTTGATGGCGTTAAATTTTCCTTAACGGATTGGTAAAAATCGCGAGAGGGGGAAAATTTAATACAGTCAGCAATTGATCTTGATCTTGAGCCGGATTTTCAAAATAAACTGAGGAGCGGACACACGAGGTTGTTGGTTCATTTGCAGGATTCATCAACCTCGTGTTTTCAGTCCCAAGTTTATCGGTGTATTCAATCTTCGGGGGGTGCGTGTTTTACATCGAGTGGTGTTATCTTTTTTTCGTTAAAATAATTTTCCAGAACAGGGGGTTGTCTGGGCTCCAGGGACAGGGACCAACTACAGCCCGCACTTACAACTCTTACTAATTAACTAACAGACTAACAATAACAATAAGTCAACACTCAAAAAAGTGTGTGCTGTATGTGTTTGAATGCATTTGAATAAAATTGCGCACTAGCGTTCTATTTTCAATCTGTAACTATCATTATCAATCCGGTAGCCAGTCATCTTTTTTTCTTCTATTGCATGAATGTGTGTGTACTTGTTTATGAGTGTATTTGTGTAAAGGAGATGATGAGATGTGTTTGACTTTTTTTTAAAAAATTTCCAATAATCGTGAAAAAAAATTTCGCGCTTTCTAACTCTCACAATTTCCTATCCTTTTAAAGGTGGACAACATCAACTGTTTTTTCGCAGTTCTTTATCAATGCGCTCATTTAGCGAGAATAAATATATAGTTTACAATTTAGAAACGAGTGTTCTCGTTAATATTTTTTTTTTTTGGGTTCTGAAAATTTACTGTACAAGTGGGTTTTTTCTCATTCATGAGCAATATTTCTTCCTTCGAACCAATCGGTCTCTTTTCCTCGTTTTTTTGTTGTTAATTCTGACGATCGGACAATCCATATCATCGCAGAAACTCACACAAGTTGCGGCTAGCAAATTTTCTTACTCTCCATTTTATCGCAAAACTTTCCTGACTCTTAATAATAATAGTTTCACTGACTGTACACATTATAGACCAACAATAGAAGGTCTAATCGCGCTTGGCGCGCTCCACGCACACACAGACACTCCACTTTCCTTTTCACTCAAAATTCATAAATTCATACAAATTAGAAAAGGAGACGAATTCTCCTTTCAGCGAATTCATTCTCTCGCATTCTCTCTTTCTGATTCACTCTTACTTGCTTACATTTTGTTCTGTTTCGTTCACATTCACGACAATTAGTCAACTATATCGCATAATAATTGAACCATTCAAAAGTCCTCTTAATTAATACGTGCCATCACAATCCGGATGTCAGCGTATGAAATCGCCGAACGGTCTTCTTCACTTGGCAGTAAACAATGTGACAATGCAGTTAGTGATACTTAGAGTAGTAGTATTGTAATAGTAGTACGGGGTGGGTGGTCACTCCGAGATAAAAATAATACAGTCCCAGTGGCACATCACTGTACATAATCACAACACAGCAGGCGATGGTGGCGGCGCAGAGCGCGGTGCTGCATTTCGTCAAAAAACATTTACAAGTCACATTTCATCGGAACAATAATATTAATAAACTCTTATACAAAGTTTTGCAGTAATCTTTCTCTCTCTCTCGCTCTCTCTCTTGTTGCTCTCTCTCTCCTCTCTCTCTCTCTCATTCTTCATTTTCTCTCGCATAATAATTCACACGCACTCTTTTTCGCTATTAAAACTTTCTCGTCCCCCTACACCCCGAAATCACGATGTATCGCTTTTTTTTATTTACGAATAACGCTCGTTCATTTGCAAGCTGGCAGAAGTTAGCTCCACGATTGATAGCTGTCTTGGTACCATTTCGGTTCGTCACCAGACCCAGCGCCACCACTACCGCCACCGTTTACACTCGCCAATCCATATCCCAATGGCTGTTGGGCAAGGGGCTGGTTTCCCCAGCTGCTCTGGAAGCGACGTTTAGATTCCCCCTGGTTCTGGTGACCCCCGTCAAACTTTCGTTTACCTGCTGTAGAAACATTTAGCAAACGTCAAAAAGGCAATCATCACTTTTTTACCTCTAATTTACACCTACAATATTAATTATATTTATCTCTTATCTCCATATTTTCTAATTCCAAACTATTTTTTCTGACGTTACAACTTTCTCTTCATAGAAAAATTTCTTTCCTAGGGAGGAAAATCAAAAGTCCAACTCGATTCGTGCCTTAATGTTATATTCAATTTTTAAAAAAAATTAAAAATTACATTGACATCTTCCTAAGGTTAATACCTGAGGAGGATGTCAATGTAATTTTTCCATTCAATCTCCAAGTAAAAATCGAATTTATAGCGTATGCATTATTGTATAATTCGACATCTTTTTTAACCCTTCAAGAACACATGGGGTCGAGTCAAATCCCTGATTTCTTTTTTATCAAATACAACTTTTCTTTAAAACAACTTTTTTTAATTTGATCATCTACTTTAAACGTTATTAATAAAAGAATCCGACAAACAATCGGAATAAAAGTTAGTCCAATGTCATAATTTCGTATTTTAAAAGAAAAGGTCACATTAAATTTTAAATTCCTTTCGGTAGAAGTGTAAGAAATTTAATTTTCTACATTTTGAATATTTTAAAGTTTTATATTTGAATAAAAATGATAATTTTTTGTCAATAATAGATGATTTAAGTAACAGAACCTAAAATTTAACAAATGTTTCTTATTGACAGAAAATTGTAATTTTTATTCAATAGCAACTTTCAATCGTTTTAAATGTTCAAAATTAAAATCTTCGCCTTTCCACCAAGACGATGAATTTAAAATTTAATTTGACTGTCCGTCAGATTCTTCCATAATTCTCTTAGTAATTCTTCTACTTTGTACCAATTAATTTGTCTAAGTTTTTAAAATTTCTTTTCTTAATATGATTTTTATGAATTTATCATAAAAATGGTCAAGGTTATACTAAAAACAAAATAATTTATCAAATTTTGTTGTATTGTTCATAAAATATAAGTAAATGAAAAAATACAAAAATATTGAAGTTTCAAATGATTTTATTCAGAATGATCACGAATTTCAGTTTATCAACTTCCCTGACAATTTACTGACATTAAAATTACTTTCCCTGATGAAATTCTTTTTACAGGAAAATATAAATGTTTACCGAAAATAAGTAAAATTTATAAATTTTAATAATTTTTAAAAATTACAATTATAACCCTTCCTGAATTCAATTATTTTCTATAATTTTCAACTAAACTTCATGTCTGAATCAATTAATTTCAATAATTTTCCAAAAGTTCTTCTAGAATTAAATTATTTATGTAAATACAATTTATTTAAATAAAATCTATTTTTTATAATAATTATAACTCTCCGTAGTTTTTTCTTAAGTTATTAAGGTACATTTTCAAAAAATAATAAAGAAATTCTTACAATTAATTTTTTCAAAATATTTTAAAATAATTTTTGAAAAAAATAAGTTTTTCAATTTTGAAAAATTTCCAAACAATTAAAATTTGGTAAAATCTTTTTTAAATAATTGAACAAATAAAAAACTTCATTAAATAATTGAATTTTTGAAAACTACAAATAAAAATGATCAAATTTTTGAAGAATTTTAATTATAAACGCAAGACCATGTTTTCTCAAAAATTTTAATAAGTCTAAAAAGTAAATTTTTATAAATGTTTACTTTGTTCGAAGATAATTGAATCTTAGAAAATTATAAAAGAATTCTAAGAATTAGTTTTTAAAAATATTTTAAAGTAATTTTTCAAAAATAATTGAATTTCTTAAAAGAATTTCTGTATAATCTAAAAAAAACTAATTAATTTTATGTTGAGTTTTAATTAAAAATTTTGAACATGATTGTTTTCTCAAAAATTTTTAAAATAATTCTAAAATGTTATTATTTTCTTACCTATGTATTTGAATTTTTTGAAAATATGTAATTGAAAGTACTGAAAATATTGAATTTTAAAAAATTAGAAGCTAATTTTCATTAATTTTGATTTTTAAATTTCATTTTTAAAGATTTTTCATTAAAATTTTTGATAATTCAATTATTTTAAAAATTTGCAATTAAAATTCTTCAAAAGTTGATTTTTAAAAATTGTAACAAAATACTTGAAATAAATTAATTATTTTTAATTAAATTTTACAAAATTTCAAGTATTCAAAAAGATTTTTATTATAGATTATTAAAAAATTTAATGATTTTAAAAAAATGATTAAAAACAATTTTTGAAAGATTTGTTTATACAGTTATTTTTTGCATAATAAAAATCAAAATAAGTTGCAGTTTTTTACTGTAAAGAATATTTTAATTCACTCTAAAAGTTCGAAACATCAACAACTTTTTTTTTAAATAAATATTTAATCATTATTATTACTTTTCCTTTGGAATTCGGATTTTTAAAAATTTTAAAATTCAAATCCTTTGAAATTCAATAATTATTAAGAATTGCTATTGCAACTTATCAAAAATTATTTTCAAGATTTCAATTCAATTTTTTTCAAGAATTTTCAACTAAAATTCTTCTCTAATTCAATTATTTTTGAAATTTTTTTTAAAAAGTTCCTTAAGGTCATGTTATTCAGTGGTCACGTGCTCCATATACTTCACTATGGGAACACGTGACCACTGAATAACATGACCTTAAGAATTGAATTATTTATTTAAAGAAAAAAAGTTTAACTAAAATACTTTTAAAATCCACTTGCTTAGAATTTAATTTTATGAAATTTAAATTATTCAAAAAGTTTTCAATTAAGTATGCATTCACAAATTTAAGTAATTAAACAAAATTTGAATAAAAATGTTTCGAAAAAATTCAACTTTTCTAAAACGTCAATTTGAAACTTATTGAAATTCAATCTATATTAGTGATACTAATGTAAGATTCTAAAATATAAAAATAGTTAGTTATAAATTATCGTAGAAAAACTAATTAATATTAATGCAAACTACGTTTTTTTTAAAATTTATTTTCTAAGAAAAGCAGAATTTTATTTATATTCTTGTCTTGTTTTATGTAGAATTAAAAAATTCATTTTTAGAAAATTCATATCACTTTTGTTCTAATTAATTGAAATTTTTACGAATTCAAATTTAGAGAATAAGTTTTGTGATATTATTGTAAAAAAATTTACCTTATTCCACAATTTTACCTTATGTGAGATTTTTCAATTTTTAAAAATAAAATTTTTGATAACTTTTTCTATTTTTTATGTAAATTTTTGTAATTTTTCTAACTTTTTATAATTTTGAATCTGAAGTAACATAATTTTTAAATAGAATTTTAGTACAAATTTTTGAAAATAATTTAATATTGTTTTGAAGTATTTCATGGAAATTTTGTAGGAAATAATTAATTTCTTTTGATAATTGGATTGTGATAAAGAATTTTACATTGAAATATATTAAACAACATGAAAAATGATTCATCATATGAATCATTCGATAATGATAATGATTGATTGAAAAAAAGAAGAAGAAATGGAAAAAAATGGACATTTTTAATTTTTCGAATTTTTAAAGGAAAATTTTCGTAAAATAATAATTTTTTGACTTATTTTCAAGAATTAAATTATTTAAAATAAAATCATTTTCAAAACTGCAATGTTCTCAATTATTATTAGAATTAAAAAAAATTAAAAATTAAATTGAATTTTTTTTTTTTTGAAGGAAATTCAGAATTTTGTTATGAATTCTAGAAATTGGATATTTTTCCAATACTTTTGATAAAATGCCCTAATTCTTCCCTGACTTATGCGAACCCTGAAAAAATATTTTTATAATTTCTACAAGATGATCGGACAATTTGTTTTCAAATGGCAGACGATCAAAATTATTTGAATTTAACCCTCATGTGTTCTTCATGATTGAAAAATAGGTGTCTTCTCAAAAGGTTTAATTTATCTTACCTTCTTCGCCGTTGTATAAAATTTTGAAAATTTCACCATTCATGCTTTAATTTGCCGCATTTTGCAGCAGATTATTATTAAAATTGTGCATTAAAAATTTAATAAACTTAAGTTTATTAAATTTAAATTTTAATTTTAATAAAAATTATAGATTGAAACTACCTCAAACTGAAGCCATTAAATTTTAATTTATAAAAATTTTAATTAGGCTAAAGATAAGAATATTCTTCTATTTTCCCCTTAAATTTAATATTATAATCTTTATTCACATAAGAGTAAACATTATGGCACGAACGAGTTAAGTTTATTATCGTAAGATAATAACTAGATAATTATATTTTTTTATTATTTTAACATTCTTTTCATAAAGAGAAGATATATTTAGTGTTAACAGAACTTTCGATTTTCATCCCTAATGCTTTTTGTTTGCAACAAAAGTGTAATATGGTTGAAACAATTATTCAATTCGAGTCTACTTTAAGAAAATTCGAATTGTTTACTCTGCATTTTTGCAAATTGCAAGTAATATCAGCTTACGAGGTAAATTTCTTCTACAACGTAATATTTATATCTATTAATTTTTAAAACGTCATATTTTTATCTCATTTAAAAATCTTTTTAATATTACCATCTTAAATTTTCTGCTGTATAATTGTCCAGATCAAAGAATCGGTTATAATATTTTAAGAGAAAATTCTTTTCCTTCAAATTAAAAAAAGGATTATTTAAAATTTTTATTTTTTGTAAGCATTTTCCATTTTTATAAATTTTATAATACAAAAATTTCCCTCCCAAAATTGTAACTTCAAACTTTTTAATTTTTGATTTTTTAGCTTAAAAATATTATAACAATTTCATTGATCGGGACTTTCAATTGTTGAATTTGACGTAATGTCAGATTGAGAAGCAAAGTTTTATTTTTAAAATCTGTAATCTCTTTTACCACGAATATAAATGTATTTAAAATGAAATTTGTAAATTCTTTTGAGAACTTGAATCTTGTGAGAGTAGATGCTCGTTATCCAGACTCAACCCAAAAGTAATGTTAAAGCCTAATTTTTCTTTTATTAGAAATGAGTCGCATGATTGC